CAATATCTCATCTCAATCTGCCCTCTTTCCACTTATAACCATTAGCTGCCCCCCCTGATCCAGAGCCCCCCCATCTCTCCTGTAGCCCCCTTTCAGCACTGGAAGGTCTCCCCGGATCCTTCTCTTCTCCAGCCTGGACACCCCCAACTCTCTCAGTCTGTCCTCGCACAGGAGCTGCTCTAGCTTCTGACCACCTCTGTGGCCTCCTCTGGCCCCACTCTAACAGCTCCGTGTCTGTCCTGTGCTGAGGACCCCAGAGCTGGACTCCAAGTGGGGTCCCATGAGAGCAGAGGGGCAGAATCCCCTCCCTGTACCTGCTGGTCACGCTGCTGGTGATACAGCCCAGGACACAGTTGGTTTCTGGGCTGCAGGTGCACACTGCCGGCTCATGTTGAACTTCCCATGAACTAACACCCCCAAGTCCTTCTCCTCAGAGCTGCTCTCAATCCATTTTTCACCCAGCCTGTATTTGTGCTTGGGATTGCCTCGACCCACGTGCAGGACCTTGCACTTGGCCTTGCTGAACTCCATGAGGTTGGCATGGTCCCACCTCTCCAGCCTGTCCAGGTCCCTCTGGATGGCATCCCTTCCCTCCAGCGTGTCACCACACCACACAGCTTGTTGTCATCGGCAAACTTGCTGAGGGTGCACTCAATCCCGCTGTCCATGTCTCCAACAAAGATGTTAACATCCAACAAAGATGTTAACTGGTGTTTAAACAACACCAGTCCAAATAAGGACCCCTGCGGACCACCACTTGTCACCAGTCTCCACTTGGACATTGAGCCGTTGACCACAATTCTTGAAGCACGACCATCCAGCCAGTTCACTATCCATTGAGCGGTCCTGCTGTCAAATCCATGTCTCTCTAATTTAGAGACAAGGATGTTGTGCAGGACAGTGTCAAATGATAAGAAGCAGCACAATTGAAGGAGGATTCATATAAATGCTATATTCCTGGTATTTCTGTACTTAATTGCTATCACTGGTCTCTTTGTCAGTGGGATTCTTCATCTAAAGTGAACATACCCTACGTATTTTTTAAACTATATCATGTAATTATCGAAGGTTATTAAAAATAAATTTAATGACTCAGACAATCCAAATGCTTAGGAGGCACAGGAGAAGCCTGTACTTAAGGAGCAGATATTAAATTACATTGTAACACAGAATAATGTTTACTTTTCAGATTAAAACAATTTGTACTGTACATAAATACCTCTTCCAAGCTGAGTTGTAAATATTCAAAAATCCTAAATGGATTTCTTCTGCATACTAGTTTTTCGCTCTTGACAAGCTACAAGAAAAAAAAATAAATTACTGTATTACTAAAACTTTAAACTGGAAAAAATACTGAATTCTGAAAATAGCACTGGTGATATAATTTTTCTAAAAGATTAGGATACTCTTTATCCTTACATTTTCTTCTGCATGAGCAGAGTCATCTTCAGGACATAAGCTACCTTCTTCTTCCTCTTGCACCAGTACATATTCTGGAGCACATTCTTTTGACTTGATCATCTCAGAAGATCTTTGCTCAGTGCTCTCCTTACCCTTGCAGCTGCAATTCATGAGAAAACCACGCTTCTGGCAAGACACTTCAGCTGTCTCTTTCAAGTCACCTTGTTCCTGTTCTTTAGAGCCACATATGGCCACAGGGTCCAACGCTGGATCTCCTTCCAAACAGGCTTTCTTGTAGTCTTCCTTCTGATTCTCAGGACTTAGGGCTACTACATTTCCAGTATCTGCAGAAGATTGTCCAGAAGGTTCTGTATTTTCTGTATTTGGGCCCATTCTGTCGCAACTGTTACCGTTTTGTTCAGTGCCATCCTCTTCCAAAAATGGCAGGTCAAGAGGCTTAGTGTAATTTTCAAGAATTTTGGTAACCGAGCAGTCATCAAATCCTTGCTCTTGCAAAATTCTTTTAGCCCACTGAACATGATACTGGTACCTAGCAAACAAGTGAAATAAATTAAAAGTTCTAGGGCATTACATCCTTTAATTAACCATCCCAAAAAAAGAAGATTTAGCACAGTTCAGAAAACTAATCTGAACACACCCCCCAATAACTGCTATGCAAAACACAACATGCACAGTGTAACAGGACTCCAGTCTTCAGGACACTGCAGACATTACCAAACATCAAGGTTCTTCTGCTACCTTCTGGGGCTTTGTTCTGCCTTTTGAATTTCTGTGGCAACAAACACCATTACCGAGCGTTGCACGAGAACCGTGCATTGAGACTACCGCTATAGAGTTTCAAGAAGCATGAACTTCATCAGGCAAAAACTCCCATCTCCCATGGAAGCCTTACGCCTGAATTCCTTGCAAAAACATCTTGGTAACAGAGCCTGCATGATTAAAATATGCAACAAGACTTTGCATAGAGATCTCTCACACACTTCATCTATTGTACGGCTAACTACTGAGAACAGTATCTTCAAACTCTGTTTTAACCGCCTTTGAAAGAGCAAGGGCAGAGCAAAAACAGAAGTGCAAAAATCTTGAGCAGAAACTACCTTCAGTTTTAACCTAACCCTCAACGTTCCTGAGAACTAGCAATAATCCTATCAGTGAGATAGTAGCCGAAACCTGTAAATATTTCTAACATTTTTCAATTACGATAGAGTTTTTAGTGCCCTTTCAATTATTTCTCCTTAGAAGATAACAATATCCAGTCAAAGACACTAATCTTCCTTCTGTGGAAGTTACAGGTAGCTGAGTGCAGCTGTCCTTATTCAAACCCCAACAACTCTAGCACAGTATTCTTTATTTCCCCAAACAAAATCGTAACACAGCAACTACAGACCAGGTAATGAAGAACTGCGAAGGCAATTAAATGCAAATTGCATGTGTCAACACAAAATAGAAGCCTCTGAAGTCTCACAATAAAGCCATGTAATTCAGTGCAGTACTTTTTGCTATGAAAAATAGATTCCTCTTCGTCCTAGAATTTAATTCCCATCTAATTTGCACTAACAGATCTCTGCTGAGACAGATCATGATGCACCTTCTGCACCAATGTAACGACACTTTCGTTGGTGCTCAGTGGTATTTGTGGACACACAAAGCAGTCACAAAGCAGACTAATCAGAATGACATGTGTTTCTGCAAGCAGCAATAACCCTGGTAGCAGGAGTACCAACATTGCTACTGTTTGCCATACCTGAAGTTGAGGACTGAAGGAGAAGAACTTTTAAATTTAAGTAAAGTAAGTCTTTTTAGGACTTGCCCACTCTTACAGTTAGTTCATACGCTATTTAAGCTGAACAAAATAAATATGTGGTCCAACACTGTTTTATTAAATGTTCAAACTAGCAGTGTTAATGGGAACTTTAAAAAGAAGTAAAACATTGATGTATTGTAAAAGTTCAAGAGCTGCTTCAGGCTACGCGATATTAATTCAATAAGGAATTGGGAGAGTTACTTTAAATAGCCTAGCCCAGACACTTCTCTTTCGTCCCCTGAGCTGAAGAACAAGTTTATTATGGTTGATATTATGAATTAATTACACATATGACTAAGCACGCACTCAATCTCGGCTTCTAGTCAGCAATTAATATATGCAAGCTGACATGAAAAACCATGCTGAATATCACCTACTCTATTTTTTCAAATGGGATTTAGAAATAAAATACAAAGAAAAGAAATAGAAGCAAGTCATCAGCATGTACACAGCCAACTATCAGAAAACCAGTAAGATAAAACATAAACCAGAATCATCTGTTTTCTAAAAAAAAAAGAATAAAGTAAATTAACTTACTTTTCTGATGTAATTATAGGCATGTTTCCATTAACACCTGTATAAAGAAAAATCACATTGTTTCATCAATATAAAAATGTTTTCATGTGATTTTGAACCTCGAGGTAGTCCATGGCCTAATATTTACCCACATTTTCAACCCTCTATGCCATTTTGGTCCAACTTGTATTCAAGAAGGACCTAGCAGAACTAGAAAAGGTAGAGAGATAATGAAGATTCAATATCCTGAATAAGCGGAACAACTGAATACTCTATTTTTCTCCAGTCTGTAAAAAGACAGTCTTTCTATAAACAACCAAGAGCAGACCAGATGTAATTAGCTATAAACAGATTAAAAATGTCACATATCCTTGCCTCATGATTTAATGGACACTAAAATCTACAGATTAAAACCAAGAAAATAGTTATAGGAAGAAAAGTCCAAGGATGATACCTTTACGTACAGGCCTCCTAAGCAACAAATCAGTGAAGGTCAGGGGAATGCACTAAAGAACTATCAACATACGTTTCCTGTTCTTGTATTTTTCCTAGGCATCTGGTACTGGCCATCATCAGGGACAAGGCATGGGGAGAAACTAATCCTTGATCCGACCCAGTAGAGAGATTATTTTTTCTATGTATAATTCACAAACACATATCTTCAATGAGTGAAGAAAAGTGAAAAGTACTACTAGAATAGTGACGAGAGTACCAATGGACACTACTTACCCTGCCACTTAGTAACCAGTGAAGGATCTGAAATGCTGTACACTGGTCGACTTCTTGACAGGATACCTTTTCCAAAATAGCCCTTCAAAGAAAAGGAAAAATCTTTATTATATCAGACAAAAATGAACTTATTTCACAATTGTAAAATGCTGAAACCCTGCCCCCCCTGGAAATTCTGCAGCATTTAAGCTTTGCCTAAAGCTTGTTGCTTAGCTTCTGATAGCTAGTTCAATATTAAACACCTGCACTCAAAAATTTAACCAGTGGAGGGTCGTGGGTCTTCTTCCTTGATTCTAAATATTTGTCAGTCAACATCTCCAAGCAGACTTTGGAAAACAGATGCAGAAGAAACCACCTGTGTATTAATGTAGTGACAATGCACACCAGAAAACAAAGAGATGGAGAAAGCCACTGCATAAGAATGGAGGTGAAATGGTACTCGGACACAACAGACTTAACAGAGCTTATTCTACTCATGAAGAAATAACTCTGAAGTTAAAAGAATTATACGAACAACATTCGTATTCCAACCTCCTGAGCTTTAAAACCAAGAAAATGTTTTTGCAAGGTTGCATAAAATGTTGAATGCAAAAATACCCATAACAAAGATGAAGTCTTGGCAGCAGTGTTTTAGCCCACAGTATCACTTCATTCCAGTATTTATTTGTTGGAATAAGAATTAAACACTTTTCACATTTGATACAGAATATATGTTTTGTACCAATTTCAGGACAGAAGGGAGATATGGAGCATTACTGGAGGCTGAAGGCAAAGGAAAGCACAAAGGTGGGCAGATTTCAACAAGTATTTGCTTTACCTATACTTAAAACACCAAAAGTACTGTGCGAATGGGGTATGGCACCTTGTTATAAAGCTGTTCAATATCTTCAGGGTTCCTCACAATAACATTGTTGTTAACTATTTCAGCCTGGCATATTCTGAAATCCTTCCCTCCTACATCCACAGGAAAAGGAGCCTCATACGACTCAAAAACTCTTCTTTTCCTTCTTGGCGGATGAAAAACTGCTTCTGCCATTTCCTAAATACTAATTTTTCCTCCTAAAAAGTGGAAACAAAACATACAACGTTCAGGAGTTAAAGTTCACCCATTTTTACATGTTTCCGCGGTATCTATCCTGCAGTACAAGCCAAGTTTAATTCTGTCAGTCACCCCAGACACACCAGCAGCGATTTACTGTGTAAACTGTTCATCTTCTGGGCACTGCAGCATCCTCTGAACCTCAGGCAGGGATAGTTCCCAACCCAGAGTTTATGAAGGACATTTGAGGTGAAAGGCAAGCACATAAACCCCTGAAAACGTTTCAAGACTGGAACAGAGCAGAATAAGCAGGAACCACAGCGCACGAGGGCCTGAATACGAACTGTTTGGAATCATGACGGGAACACATTCCGCAGGAAGCGCGGGGGCTCGGCAGGCTTCTCTCTCTGCAGCGAGCCCCGCTCACAGGGCAGGCAGGCATAGCCTGAGGGACAGGCGACCCTCACC